CAGGTGGGTTTGGAACATCTCCAGAGATGGAGACTCCACACCCTCTCTGGGCAGCCTGTCCCAGGGCTCCGGCACCCTCACAGGAAATAAGTTTTTCCTTAAGTTTGTCTGGAACTTCTGGTGTTCCAGTTTGTGCCCATTGCCCCTTGTCCTGTCACTGGGCACCACCAAAAAGAGCCTGGCCTCATCCATTCGGCCCCCACATTTCAGGTATTTATAGACATTGATCAGATCCCCTCTCAGGCTGCTCTTCTCCAGGCTGAACAGTCCCAGCTCTCTCAGCCTCTCCTCGTCAGGCAGATGCTCCAGGCCCCTCATCATCTTTGTGGCCTCCACTGGACTCTCTCCAGAAGATCCCTGTCCCTCTTGAACTGGAAGATAAAGATACTGGAAGACCACCCATAGTGATGGATGCACACACACATAAAAAAACTAATCCAAGATGGAGTGTGATGCACTGGAATAATAAACCATATTATCCCTTATGGAAATACCGTACTGGCCACAGTGGCAAAGATCCTTTTCCACACTGTATTTATATTTTACAAGTTTGTTTGAACAACAACAAATGCAGTTGTGACATTTGCCTGGCAAGGAGTTCAGGTGGAGTTACTCCTTTGACCTTATTATTAACAGAATCTAGGTGTGTTCCTTTTCTCCAAAACCAAGGGAAAAATACCTCCCCCACTCTCCTTTCATCCCCTCCGATGTTAAGGAACAAAAGAGAGGTGTTACAAATTCACGTCCATGCTAATGTCAAACACACTCAAATATGAAATTTACAGTCTCTTTATAATAAACTAATCTGAGATCTAAACATACAGAGATGTATTAATCTGGGAAATAGCTGGGGGCGAGGGGAAATGTTGACTGGGGAGCAGGAAGGCAGATTGAAGAAGGGAGTCCTCAGGTCAAGTGACAAGAAGCCCAGGACAGGCATCAGTTGGACAGGGAACAGATTTCTCTAGGCACTAGTGTGATCACAAAGAAGTTCCAAATGAACGTATAGAAAAGTGGATTTAGGCAATTTGCTTCCGAGCTCGTTTGTATTATTGTTCAAGCAATTAGTGCTATCACATTATCGACCAAATGGAAAGATGGGAGGTAAAAGAGTGTCCCAAATTGCTACAAAAAAAGAATCCATTTTGAGTATAAGTTTAGAAGGGATATTGAACTGCATGGACAAGGCTGAAGCTGAGATGAGGAGGAAACCTTTTTGTGGAGCTGAGTATCTCATATTAGTCCACTGCAGCACCTTCACACCTTCCTGTGAATGACCTGGGAGCTGGCTGCTGTGACACACAATGTACTGCCTTACCCACACTCAGGCCTGTTGCAGAAAGTTAATGTCTACGTTCCTAACAGTCAAGTCAGCAATCAGCTCAAATATCTGTGCCAGACATTAAAAAAAATTTAAAAATCCTCCTACTTTGCCAAAAACAATCCAACAGACCGTTATCAGAGCAAGAGCTCCACCACAGGTTTACGTGACCAGAAAAATCAGAGGAGCAGCTTGCTAACCTACCCCAGCCCTGGTTCATCTGACCACAGAGATCTGTGCAGATAGGAGCTTTGTGGAAATCATAAGCAACTGCTGAATGCCAGACGTAATTTTTATATAACACCTATCCTTGCTTTCCTGCTATGCTCCCCTGGAGTCACCAGTGATAAAATGAGAGACCAAATCACAGAATCACAGAATGTCAGGGATTGGAAGGGACCTCAAAAGATCATCCAGTCCAATCCCCCTGCCAGAGCAGGAACCTAAATGAGATCACACAGGAAGGCGTCCAGGCGGGTTTTGAATGTCCCCAGAGGAGACTCCACAACCTCCCTGGACAGCCTGTCCCAGTGCTCAAAATTCTGTGTCCAAATTCTGGAGGACAGGGAAGGGAAGCTGTTTTATTCAAACCTGTCTCCTGAAACATTCGGACCTTAAATACAGTGACCCTAAAATATATTCTTATATGACTTACAATATCATATATTTCTCTGTCTTCTTCATCAGCCAACGTCAACAACGCTACCAAGGGATAGCGAGATCTAGGCACTGGGCCAAAATTGACAACTTGAGCATCTTCTGGTAACTGACAATATTTTTCTTCTTTGTCATTTTTTTTAATGCTTTAGATGTGTCAAGGAAAACAATCAGCGTTGCTGCAACTGTAGACAAACGTGACGTTTGCATCAAGAACATTTTTCATCATATTTGTTCATCAATATATCGTGCCAAGAACTGCCAAGTGTTCACAAGTCTCAACGCTCCCTCTGCCAACTAATTAGCATGTTTTGTCAAAACAATTAAAAAAAAGGATACGAGTACTGTTGTCGATGGAGGTATTCGCTGTACAGAGCGTCCTCTAATGCCTGAGGAGTCTTTATTCTGAAGCAGTAGACGTGTTTCTGCAATGCTTCATGGAGTTTTTGAACGTTGCAGCCCCAGTAGCATGTGAGAATACAGTCTTCCAGACAGTCAGGTGTCAGCGTTATACCCTCTTGTAGAAAGAAGAGAAGGATTTCATTAACTCACCCACATGTAGGAATTCTGGAACTGCTAAGTATAGGTTCTTAAAAGGTAACAAGCAGAAAACAACTTCAGTGTCACAGATTTTTAGCATTTTAATCTAATCTTCTAAGAATTTAGACTAGGTTTAGTGCTTAAGAAAGTCCACGGAGATGAGGAAGCGAGTGTGAGGAGATAAAATGGCTGATTAAGCCAACGAAAGGAGCATGTGCATTTTAGGAAGGGTAAATTTTAAACTTCTGGTAACATTTTACCCACTCCCAAGAGCACAACCCCTAGCCCAAAGTCCATTCCCTCTCTAGATAATGGTATTCAGTGGATCACTGGCCTGCAACACTCGCTCTGGTCTCAAAGAATAAGGCCCTCTTGATCTTGCAGAGGGAGGATAAAAGAGGATTTACATGCTCATTTCTTTTCTAAAAATCAAGTACCCAACCCATTAACTTCTAAACACTTACTGCACACACAGGAGCAGAACTCTTGAAAAGTCCCACCAAATTAAAGTGCTCAAACCTCCTGAAAAATCCAAGTTCCCTGAAGACTAAGTTGTTGTTTTGGGGTTTTTTTTTGTTTGTTAATGTTGGGGAAGGGGTAAAACTGCTGCAGCCTTTTCTTCTTCACAGGCAGGCTCCACATCTGTGTCGGTGGAAGATGCTGGCCCTCACTTACCACTCCCCAACGATGCAGAAGGGCAGGAATTTCACTTTTTATGTGGGTAATTTCAAGGATTTTAGGAACTACATGAATTATGCTCCAAATAGATACTTAAATTCAATTCCCACTGAAGCACAGATAGAAAAAGAGGGAGATTTTATTTTTTTTTTCTAAAGCAGTGCACTTCCCAACACTGCTGGGGATAAGGATTTAAATTTAAGTGAGCTGCATATATTCTATAATGAATTCTATAGAATTCTACAATTCTGTAACTATTACTGTAAATTAATTAATTAATTACTGTAATTAATTGCTCCAGGTCTCTCTTGTGTTGGTGGCCCCAGCACTGGAGGCAGCACTGCAGGTGGGGTCTCAGGAGAGTGGAGCAGAGGGGCAGAATCCCCTCCCTCCACCTGCTGCCCACTAGCTGTAAATTAGCTAGTAATCTGCAAATGTTTTTGTTACTTCAAAATCTGTTATAGCAGGAAGTGTTTCATTAGTCAGAACTAAACTATATGTAAATATCCAAAAATTTCACTTGTAAAAGCACCACATTTATAAGCTGTGTAAAAATTATCTCTGTTGTAATGATGGGAGGAAGCATGTTTCTGAGGAATTTTTGATAAAGGAAAAGGGTGAGAGCAAGAAAACATAATACTAAGTTCAGGAATGCAAACTGACAAAAATCAAGCAGGTCAGAAATCCACTGACTTGTGACTGAAGCTGTAGCAGGATGAGGGATTTCTAACCCAAAAGGATTCTTCACTTGTCTCATCCGCTTTTTCAAAACTCTTGCGCTGGAGTCTGTTTCTTCGGGGTTTCTCAGAATAACAGGAACACCCAACCCAAACCTAGGAGACACCAAACAAGAAGAACAAGTGGGTTAAATGTTAGTGTTGACACATCTGAATTTTTCTTCAGCTCTGAATAGCAAGCAGCACAACAAATAGAGCTGGTTTGGCTTTGAGGAATATCTGAATGTATGTGTAAGACAGCCTGCCAATGTGACTCCAGCCTTCTGTGGCAGAAAATAGGAGTCTTCACAATGATATAGAAAATCTTTCAAGGGGGGGGATACTTTACCCCTGCAATGTTTCCAGAAAAAGAATAAAATGAACGAGACTAGTCAATGCCCTCTAGTGGTAAACACTTACCCAGAGCTTCCTCCCAATTGACATTCTGCACATCCCATCACAGGACCAGGGAAAAAAATATAAAAATAAAAAATCACTGCAAAGATGGAACAGCTTTAATGGCCTGGGTGCTCAAAAGGAAGAGCTCAGAGTAAATCATGCAGCCCTAAAATATTCCTAGCTGTAACTACAGCCAGGAAGATGTTTTTATGGGAGAGTAAGATCCCGATTTCCCATGTAAACCTCAATTACAATAATATGCTGATATTAAATCAGGGGCTGCAAAGTCTCTGCTTTGAGCCAGAAACCAAGACTACTTCAGAGACTGAAAGAGATTTTCTTAACTGCAGTGAAAATAGTCAAGACTGAATCAAAGCTGAGACTCTAAGACCACTTCAAAGTCAAAACTAGCACACCAGCCCAAGTGATAGTATGACCCTAAAAGGATAACAAAGCAAAGGTTTAAAAGTTTAAAGATCTGATGAATCAAAATAAAAATCAAAAGAAAGTGAGGAAGAATATTTTGGGATGATTTCTGCCATCAGTTAAAAACCCCAGGATTTTCATATTGCCTTCATTATTTTCATTATCACCATGCCTTTCATATTGCCTGGGTCACTTCAAAGAGCCATTAGAGAAGAGCAGGATCTACAAAACAAGCTCCACAACAGGCTTCCTTTTACACTTCGCTGAAAATCATTCACTTTTTAAGGTGACAGCAATAACTTCCAATAACCAAAAGCTGATTAGAGAAACAGTCCCAGATACACAATCAGAAGACTACTTCAGAGACTGAAACAGATTTTCTTAACTGCATTAATCCAGTCCTGCCTCGTTAGTAAGGCAACAGGGAGAGGCTGTGGGAGCCTTTTGTTAATGCATTTTAGACAATAGTTATTAATTAGCTCAGGCTGTACTCTCCTCAATTTGTGCTTTTGTTGCTGCCACCTGTACTGCTGGAGTGATGGCCTGGTTAATGGCTTTGAGTTTTGGTTTATGCAGTTATCAGCATATTGGGTGCTGGAAAACTCTGAATGACACGAAGCATTGGCTCTTCCCTGCATCAGTTGTCTCCACTGAGGACACTGAAATAGCAGCTGTTACAGTAAGATGGGGCTCACATCAATAACTCAAGCTGAAAAGGGCACTACCAACTTCAGTGTAATCAGTTTGAAAATTGCTGAGGTAATTTCATGTATGATACAGCTCTGAGCCAAACAGATCATTTTGTGACTTAACTGCTAATTTTTCTGGGGTTTAAAATCTTTTCCAACTCCCATGTGTCAAAGGAAGGAGAAAAGCAGAGTTTTTACTGACACTGGGCTGCTTTCTATTGATTCATCTTGGAGAGGTGCCCTTTGTAAAGACCAACAGGGGAAAACACCAGTCAAAAGCCATTTTCAAGTTGAGAAAACTACTTGAGAAGAAAATTCTCAAAGCCATTCTCAATAGCAACAACCTGTTCCTGGCAGTCTAACAAATATTCACCATTGAGCATCCTGCACGCCCAAGTGGCACAGATATATTGTTCAAGGCCAGGTTGGATGAAGCTTTGAAACCATTCTATGATTCTATGAAAGAGGGAAAAGGTTGAGTTGGTGGAAAGAGTTGGGGAGAGTTGGAGATCTTATAGCAGCCTTCCAATACCTGAAAGGCCTACAAGAAAGCTGGGGAAGGACTTTTCATAAGGGCAGTTAATGACAGAACAAGGGGAAATGGGTTTAAGCTGCAAGAGGGGAGGTTTAGATGAGATATTAGGAAGAAGTTCTTCACTGTGAGGGTGGTGAGACACTGGAACAGGTTGCCCAAGGAAGTTGTAGATGCCCCCTCCCTGGAAGTGTTCTCGGCCAGGCTGGATGAGGCTTTGAGCAACCTGGTCTAGTGGAAGGTGTCCCTGCTGCTGGCAGGGGGGTTGGAACTGGATGAGCTTTAAGGTCCCTTCCAACCCAAACCAGTCTGTGATTCTATGATATGATTCTATGAAAGAGGGAAAAGGTTGAGCTGGTGGAAAATACTCTATGCTCATTACTCCATCTTTGATAAATGCCTTTGGTTTGTTAAGACTTTGATGGAAACATTTGCATTTCTTTGATGATATAATATAGGGCTCTCAGCCACACTTAGTTTGGGTGCTGGAGGGTCAAATCTCTGTCTGTAAACACAACCACCACGCTGACTTCACTGGGGCTGTAACGAAGTACACTAGTTAAAACATCTGACAAAGAAACCAGGTGCACCAGCTGTTTCATTTATTCAATATCCAAAACTCCATGGAGTTAATCTCTCCAGCCACACATCGAGATGCCTCCTGTTTTATACCATCTGGCTGATTCCAAAGGAAAAACCCTGTTCTTTGGAAACTTTCTTCGATGGTTGAAAGCAACAGGATAATCACCATGAAAAGCAGCCACAGGAAAAAAAAATCTCTAGGAGAGTTTTAGCAGCAGCTGAAGGTAATTCAACAATAAGGTAATTCTGTAAATTTTAAGGTAAGAACCTTCAATAAAGATGCAGTTTTTATTTTACAATCTTCTGTCAGCTTAGATTGGTGGTACAGGGGAAAATTAATTTATCCAGAACAAGGCTAGTTTAGAAAAGGGAGGAATTTCCAATGGTTAATTTCATTTTTCATCAGTTAATTTCTTCAAAGAGCAATCTGGGCCTCAAACATCTCCAGCTACAAAGACAACACCCAGGACTGTACTCAGCTAATCTAAATTCCACTTCATCCCTATGCCCAGAGCATCTGTTGGGCTGTCTCCAGACAGCTACCTGGGCAGTAACGTGCTTAGACTCTCTGAGCAGAGCCACAGGTATCACAGAATCACAGAATGTCAGGGATTGGAAGGGACCTCGAAAGATCATCCAGTCCAATCCCCCTGCCAGAGCAGGAACCTAAATGAGATCACACAGGAAGGCGTCCAGGCGGGTCTTGAATGTCTCCAGAGAAGGAGACTCCACACCCTCCCTGGGCATCCAGGGTTGGTCATAAAAACACTCATCAAATCAGGGCATGATTTTGCAAATGAAAACATGAACATTCCTGAGCAGTTGGTGTTTCTCAGGCTGAGTGACACCATCATGAACACATCCATAAAACAAGCTGACAAATGATGCCAAAAATGATGGGGGAAACAAAACCTCATTTCAGCAACATATCAAATCCTATGTACTCACATGACAGCACATGCATTTACAGTGCCTTGTGCAGCAAATAAAGGATCAAGTTGTTTTCATGAGTAAGTTCAAGAGCAGCACTTCAACTGTAACTGCAGCCCAGGGGCCAATAACCGTGTCCTGG